CTCTCTCTCTCTCACACATACACACACAAATAAAAATAAAATGAATAAATGTAGTTTTAAAAATAAAAGAAGAGACGCTCTACAGACACTTGAGGGTCAAGGGTTTCTCTTGGACGCCTCCATGTGGGAAAATAAGGAACTGATTAACGAACGCTTTCCCCTCACCCCTCTACTGAATCCTCTTGAACCACTTCTTGGCCTCAGATCCTCCACGGCTCACTGGCTTTCTGAATGGAGTCCGTGTACCTTGATACACCCTCCAAGGCCCTCTGAACTAGCCTCAATCACCTGTTCAAAGCTTGTGCTCAACATGTACCACAAGCTCAAGCACCAGTGCATTATGTTTTATTTACAGTCAGATTCAGATGATTCTGTCAGACTTCACTTCCCCTGTTTAAGCTATCCACCCGGCTGGTGAAACCTCTCTCACAATGCCCACTTATGGTGTCACTCTCTTCTTTTTGTACACTGGAGTCAGGCTCTCCAGGCCATCCCCCTTTTCTGAGCGCTCCCCCGAGGAGGCAGCTTTCTCAGTCCCTGTAAGACACTTGGTGTTAATTCCCATCTCAGGGCCTTGGCACATCTCTGTCTGCCTAAAATCTTTCTCTTGCCCCAGAACCACTACACAGCTGCAGTGGCTCACCCCTTCTGTCCACAGACATCTGTACCGAGCAGTCTAGAATGATCTCCACGGAGGAGAGCACCCCACCACTCTCTTTCCCTTCACCCAGCTTTCTCTCTAGTGACATTATTATTAATTATTCCTGACATACAGGGCTGTCTGCAATAGTACTTAGTACAGTACTTGGAGGCACACTCTTGCTCACCCTTTATCTCCAGCGTCCGGACTAGGACACATCGCACGTGTCATAACTACATTAGCATTTGCTGAATGAATAATGCAATGAACTAACAGCCTGGTTTATTGAGGCTACGAAAGGGCGGGCGCGTTTGCTGCAGGAGCGAATGGGGACGTGGGGGTCCCCGGGAGGGGGTCGGGCTGAGGCTGCTCCGGGTACCTGGCCCCCGCCCTCGGGGAAAAGCAGCGTGTCTTCCAGGACCACTTGGAAACCGCTCAGCACTTCTTTCTTGCCGCCGCTCGCGTCCGTCTGCAACTCGGCGGGGCTGCAGGAGACCACGGTGGTGGTGAACTGGGCAGAGGGGGAGGCGAGTGTGAGCCCTCTCCCGCCGAGAGTGGAGCCTGCCCTCGCCCTCCCTCCGGGCGGCACCCTCGGTCCCAGGACCCTCTCCCGCCAGGCCGCACCTCCCGCGCATAGCTGTCGCGCTGACACAGGAACGCCATCGCGGTCTCCTAGGCCCCGGAGACCGGCGCGCGCAGGAAAGCCGGGCGGGGGACGGAAACCGAACTGGGACAAACTTTCTTAAGCGTTCCTGCGCGAACGTAAACGCGTAAAGGAAGAGGTGTGATTTGAACAAATTTTCTGAAACTGCTAACTGCAGGTGTTCTGTGTTGTTTTGTTACCGTTTTAAGACTGAAAGACTACGAAACAAAATTCACAACTCGACCTGAGACGTTCCTCAGCTAGGGACGTGTAATTTGGACTGCGGAGGCCCGGTGCATGGAGTTGGAAATAAAGAGGGGCTGGACAGAAATAGACAAGGCATTATATGTTAATATTTTATTTAAAACCAACATCCAGGGGCTGGAGGGATGGCTCAGTGGTTAAGAGCATTGACTGCTCTTTCAGACGACCCGGTTCAATTCCCAGCACCCACATGACAGCTCACAACTGTCTGTAATTCCAGTTCCAGGAGACCCGACACCCATGGCAAAACACCAATGCACATCAAATAAATAAATAAACAAACAAACATCCATAGTATTTCATCATGTAACTTTTTAACTATAGGGAAGAAGTTTAACCCACAAACCTCAGGAACCTATGATTTATGATAATTTGGATTTTAAAGTTATTTTATTTTTATTTATGTGTATGTGTACCAAATTACAGGTCGCTGTGCCCCACCTGATATGGGTGCTGAGAATCAAACTCCTGTCCTCTGAAAAATACACTACACACTCTTAACCACGGAGATATACAGGAAGTTAAGGGTCTATCTGAGTGAGATGAAATCCCCTGGCTTGAATACAAGCCTGTCCAGCAATAGCTTCCCACTGCAAAGGGGGCCAGAATCTCTGGAGAAAGAAGCTTTCCACAGGGAGGGAACGCATAAGAAGGAAGGAGACAGCATCCCTCCTAGGATTTATTGTAATCTCTTTCTTCTTTGGCCTTTGCTTTACCACATATAAACATGTAAAAAAAAAAAAAAACAGCATCCCAAACACAGATTCTAAGTCAAATCAGAGGGAAGTCAGAAGCCCCAGCAGCCAGCCCCTCCATCCCTCCTAGCTGATGAAGGACCACACTGGTGAGACTAAGAGGAAGATCTAGGCTGAAGAGGGACCCTTAAGAAAGAGCTTCTGAGCCAGGCCATGGTGGCACAGGTCTTTAATCCCAGCACTTGGGAGACAGAAGCAAGGAGGATCTCTGTGAGTTTGAGGCCAGGCTGGTCTACAGAGTGAGTTCCAGGACATCCGGGGGCTACATAGTGAGATCCTGTCTTGAAAAACAAAAAGAAAAAAGAGGGGCTGGAGAGATGGCTCAGAGGTTAAGAGCACTGGCTGTTCTTCCAGAGGTCATGAGTTCAATTCCCAGCAACCACATGGTGGCTCACAACCATCTGTAATGAGATCTGGTGCCCTCTTCTGACATGCAGGTGTATATGCAGACAGAACACTGTATACATAATAAATAAATAAATCTTAAAAAAAAAAAGAAAGAAAAGAAAAGAAAAAAGAAAAAGAAAAGGGCTTCTGGAAAAGTTCAGAGGTCTCAGTGGATTTTGATGCATAACAAAATAGTTGGTGATGGCCCATGATGCTTTCAGCACGGACAGCCTCTTCCCCAGCTCTGCTGTCACAGAAGGCTAATCAGTTGTTACGTCTGCACTGTCAGAATCATCCTGAAAAGAGAGGAGAAAACACCTGTTGTTTCTATGGTGACCATCAATGATGCTGCTCAAACCCCACAACCCCCCTATCCTCCAACCCTCCAGCCCCCCACCCCCACTCGGTTAACTACTGTGTGCTGGAGACTGGAATACACATTCTTACATGTTTATGTTTTGTCTTCTATGCCTTTAAGGAGGGTGGGCCTCATGCATGGTGGGAAAAACACTCTTCCACTGAGCTGTACCCAGCTCCAGCTCCAATGTGTTATTTTTAAAGGCTAAAAGGAAACTGAAAGATCTAGGGAAGGTGTTACTTACATCCAGATCATCCATGGCAGGGGGAGGTCTCTTAGTGCTGACCTTGTTCAAAAGCTAATGGGAAGATAGAAACAGTCACAAGAGATGAGGGGTGAGGGAAGAGAAGTCTGAATGTGAGGAGAGACAGGAGAATGGTCCCTGACCCAGCCATTGATTGGAGAGAAGTCAATTGATATTCTCCTCTTCTTCTTTTTTCTTTTTCTTTTCTTTTTTTTTTTTTAGATGATTCCCTTTCTTAAAAGTTAATTTAGAGAGACTGGAGAGATGGCTCAGAGGTCAAGAGCACTTACTGCTCTTGCAGTGAAACCAAGTTCAGTTCCCAGCACCCACAGCAGACAGTTACTGTTCTCTGATATCTTGGGGCACCTGTATTCCCATGGGACACATAAACTCACTCAAACACACATACATACACATGATAAATTAAAAATCAAAACACCAAACAAACCAAGATAAAAATAACTTTAAAAAAATCTAGTTGGGCCAAGGGCAGTGGTGGCGCACAACCTTGATCCTAGCCCTGGGGAGGCAGAGCCAAGCATATCTCTGTGAGTTCGAGACCAGCCTGGTCTACAGAGCAAGATCCAGGACAGGCACCAAAACAACACAGAGAAACCCTGTCTTGAAAAAACAAAACAACATAAATAAATAAATAAACAAACAAACAAATAAATAAATCTAGTTTAAAGTGGGTGTAGAATCACAGGCCTATAATCCTAGCACTCACAGGCTGAGGCAGGAGGATCAAAAGTTCATGATCAGCTTCAGCTACATTAGGAGACCCTGCTGGGTGGTGGTATCTAATACCTTTAATGCCAGCACTAGGGAGGCAGACACAGGCGCATCTCTGTGAGTTCAAGGCCAGCCTGGTCTACAGAGCGAGTTTCAGGACAGCCAAGACTGTTACATACAGAAACCCTGTCTCAAAAAAAAAAAAAAAAACAAAAACAAAAGATAGAGTGGTGGGAAGAGCTTTTGTTACATTTTAACAGAATTGGGGCTGGAGAGATGGCTCAGCTCTGAAAGGCGAGGCTCACAACCGAAAACGTTTTTTTACAGAACATAGGCACTACTCTGCAAACAGTAACTTAAGCTGTGTGAAAGTCTTCTAATATGGGCTGGCAAGATGGCTCAGTTTGAATAGGCACCTGATGCCAAGCTTCCTTCATGAGTTCAATCCCTGGGACCTACATGTTAGAAATAGAATACAAAAAAAAAAAAAAAAAAAAAAAAAAAAAAAAAAAAGAAATAGAATACAGACTCCCCCCACAAGTTGTATTCTGATCTCCGCATGGCTTCTGTGACATGTGTGCATCTGGCCCTCACAAATAAATAAGTAAAATGTATTAAGTCTTTTTTTTTTTTTAAAGATGGCTCAGCAGCTAAGAGTACCTGCTTCTCTTTCAGAGGATTCAAATTTTGTTCCCAACACCCATGTCAGACAATTCACAACCTCCTGTAACTCCAGCTCCAAGGGATCCAACACACATGCAAACACAAAAATAAAAATAACATTGGGCATAGTGGAACACACCTTTAATCCCAGTACTAGGGAGGCAGAGGCAAGTGGATATCTGTGAATTTCAAGCCAGCCTGGTCTATATAGCAAATTCCAAACCACCCAGAGCTACAAAGTTAAGACCTTGTCTCAAATATAAACAAATAAAATGATAAATTCTTCTCTTTTAAATTTCACTAATACTAATTTCTCTCATTTCTGCTAAATAAACAATGAATAAAATATACTGCATATCAGTACCAGTGAGCGGCCTGCTTGGGGAGTTCAATACCCGTGCCTGGCCGAATGTGAACGACGGGGATGGGCAGCAGGGTGCTGTGTCTCATACCTCCGCATAATGCTCCACCTGAGCCAGTTCCACCTCGTCATCTCCTTCCCAGTCTCTCCAGTTGTCAAAGTCCACAGAGAGCCACACCGGCTGCAGGAGGAAGCATGGATGTTACAGGCGGGAAGGACAGAAGCAAGGGAACATGGGAAGAGTGGGGGCGTGTGCACAGTCGGAGGCCTCAGAGGGAAAGGTCAGCGTGCTAGTGGTCCCACATGCACCCCATTGGCCAACCCACCCTCCAAGCTGCATCGACAAATGTTCACCTGAATCTACTCAGTGCCAAACATAATGCCAAGAACAGCAAGGTCTGAAAAAGCACAGAGTTCTATCCTTCAAGGGCTGATGGACAGGGAACTCAAAGCATCCTAGGATGCAACCACGAAAGACAGACAAGCTGCATTCCCCAGAGTCAGAGGCACCCCTTTGTTGTGGGACATTTGTACACTGTGTGAAAATGTATTGCTGTGACTGGTGTACTAAAAAGCTGAATGGCCAATAGCTAGGCAGGAGGTATGGGTGGGACTTCCTTCCAGGCAGAGAGAGAACTCTGGGAAGAAGAAAGCTGAGTCGCCAACCAGCTGCAGAGGAAGCAGCATGGGCAGTACAGACAGATGAGGTAACGAGCCAGAAGACAGATTAAAATAAATGGGTAATATAAGTTATAAGAGCTAGTGGGACAAGCCCAAGCTAAGGCCGAGCTTTCATAATTAATAAAAAGTCTCTGTGTCATTATTTGTGAGCTGACGGCCCAAAGAAAAAATCTGACTATAAATGGTGAGAACCATATGCCAAAGTGCCCACATTTAAAGCCAGGTGTAATGCTACAACCTATCATGCCAGCATTTTTCAGGTGACGCCTAGAGAACCAGGGGTTCAAGGTCATCCTTGGGTATATAGCAAGATAAAGTTTAGTCTAAGCTACGTGGGACCCTGTCTCAAAAGAAAATTTAATATTCATACATACTCATTTAAAGATTTTTTTTCTTGGGGAGGTGTAGGGGTTTTTTTTCCTCTTTGACCTTTGGGGGCCCACCACCCAGCTCCTAAATAAATACACAGAGACTTATTCTTACTTTTGAATGCCTGACTTGAGCATAGCTTTGCGCCTTTCCGGGAACTCACCTTGTAGACCAGGCTGGCCTTGAACTCACAGAGATCCACCTGCCTCTACCTCCCAAGTGCTGGAATTAAAGGCATGCGCCACCACTGCCTGGCTTTTAGCCAGCTTTTCTTAACTTAAATTATCCCATCTATGGGCTGGAGAGATGGCTCAAAGGTTAAGAGCACCGACTGCTCTTCCAGAGGTCCTGAGTTCAATTCCCAGCAACCACGTGGTGGCTCACAACCATCTATCTGTAATGAGATCTGGCGCCCTCCTCTGTATACATAATAAATAAGTAAATCTTTAAAAAAAAATTATCCCATCTAGGGCTGGAGAGATGGCTCAGAGGTTAAGAGCACCGACTGCTCTTCCAGAGGTCCTGAGTTCAATTCCCAGCAACCACATGGTGGCTCACAACCATCTGTAATGAGATCTGGTGCCCTCTTCTGACCTGTAGTCATACATGCTGTATACAAAATAAATAAATAAATCTTTAAAAAAAATTATCCCATCTACCTTTTGCCTCTGGGCTTTTACCTTTCTCTATTTCTGTATATCTTTTCATTCCTTCTTATTCCACGTCTGGCTGTGTGGCTCGCCCTTGGCATCCTCCTCTTCATGTTCTTCTCCTTCTATTTATTCTGTGTGCCAGTCCCACCTATTCTTTTTCCTGCCTTGCTATTGGCTGTTCAGCTCTTTATTAGACCACAGTTTTAGGCAGGCAAAGTAACACAGCTTCACAGAGTTAAACAAATATAACATAAAAGAAGGCAACACATCTTTGCATCATTAAACAAATATTCCACAGTATAAACAAATGTAACACATCTTTAATATTCTACAACAGGATTTTTTTTTTGTTTTTGTATATGTTGGTTTGTGTTCTAGGCCTAGAACTGCTTTGTAAACCAGGATGACCTTGAACTCACAGAGATCCACCTGCCTCCACCTCTTCCTCATGTAGGGATTAAAGGTTTGTGCCACCACACCTGGCTATATTTTGTCTGCCCCTATGTCTGTGCGCTGAGTTCCTGCCTGGTGCCCATGGAGGCCAGAAGAGGGCATTGAAACTTCTGGAACTGGAGGTACAAGCAATTCTATTTTGAGCTACCATGAGCTGGAAATTGAACCCTGGGTCCTCTGGAGGAGTAACTTAAAAACTGAGCCATCTCTCCAGTCCCATAATTTATAATAAAAAATATTAAAATCACGCCGGGCGGTGGTGGCGCACGCCTTTAATCCCAGCACTGGGAGGCAGGGGCAGGCACTCTTGTGAGTTCCAGGTCAGCCTGGGCTACAGACTGAGTTCCAGGAAAGGCGCAAAGCAACACAGAGAAACTCTGTCTCGAAAAAAAAAAAAAAACAAAGTGTTAAAATCACATTTACGGGGACTGGAGAGATGGTTCTGTGGTTAAGAGCATTGTCTACTCTTTCAGAGGACCAGGGTTCAATTCCCAGCCCCCATGTGGTGGGTCACATCTAGTTTCAGGAGATCCAAACAGGCTACAGTACATGCAGGCAGAACACCCATACACACAAAATAAACAAATTCTTAAAAAAAATCACATTTATGTATTTATTTATGGGAAGGGGGCATGTCACTACACATGAATGAATGTCACACTTTTAGGGGTTGGTTCTCTCCTTCTGCCATGTGGGAACTGGGCTTCAAATTCAGATCATCAAGTCATCAGGCTTGGTAGCAAGCACCTATATCTGCTGAACCATCTCACTGGCCCCCATGATCTACATCTTTTTTAATATCAGCAAAAAGATAAAAAATTGTGAATGTCAATAGCCAATCAAAATATTTTTTAAGATTTATTTGTTTTATTTTATGTGTATGAATGTTTTGTCTGCATGTGTGTATGTATATTACATGCCCATGGAAGTCAGAAGGAGGTGTTGGCTCCCCTGGAAATGGAGTAACAGATGGTTGTGAGCCACCGTGTTGGAGCTACACATTGAACTCAGGTTCTCTGCAAGAGCAACCAATGCTTTTAACCACTAAGCTACCTATCCAGACCCTCAAATATTTTTGTTGTTGCTTTTTGAGACCGGGTTTCTCTGTGTAGTTTTGGAGCCTGTCCTGGAACTCACTCTGTAGCCCAGGCTGGCCTTGAACTCACAGAGATCCACCTGCCTCTGCCTCCCAAGTGCTGGGGATTAAAGGTGCGCATTATCACTGACAGGCTCAAAATAATTTTTTTAACTGTGAAGAAACTACTGAAATAAATGTAAAAGCCAGATTCAGCCAGCAGGTGGCCAACTTTCAGCTTTTAGAACAGAAGTTCTTTTGGGAGTCTCAAGTGTGAGAGTGACAAAGTCAACTTCTGTTTAACAGACCACACTGGGAACAAGAGAAGGGGGGGATAAGAGATGGGACAGAAAATATGCAGCAAACTACCAACGAAGTCAGGCACAGAAGCCCATACCTGTAAAGTCAACATTCAGAATGCTGAGACAGAGGATGGCAAGTTCAAGGCCAGCCTGAGCTACATAGAAAGAGCCTGTCTCAAAAACAAACACAAAGAGACCAAAAAACAAAACAAAACAAAACAAAAAAACCCACTTCCCCCAATGACCCCTGACCCCTGATGGATGCAGTCTAGACTGGGAGGAAATACATAAATCTCAGAATATTTGGGAGATCAAATATGCAGGACCCAGGTAACTCACTGAATACTGACTTGAAGGAAGGCAAACCCAAATCCAGATGTAACTCTGGTGCCTGGGTACTCAGAGAGAGCACACAGATAGAGTGCACAGAAGCAGCAGACTCCTCCCCACTCACTCACCTTGATATCCTCCTTGGTGAGCCGTGGCCAAGCCACCTTCTCCTTCCATTTCCTCACAAAGCAAGTAATAGAGCGACCAGAGCGCTTATCCTGGGAGTCCTGACAGAAAGACAGCCTGTCTTAGAGACCGAGCTTTAGGATAAACCTCCAGTTTCCCGGCTTGGCCAGCCTTTCTGTCCAGATCCTTACCCTGCCCTCACCTTGGAGTTCACCTTGGCATAGAACTCAATCTCGTTGTACAGCTCCACTCCGTCGCCGTTCCTGCAGCTGAAGAGACAGCAAAGCTGAGACACGGGAAGAGTGAGGGGACAGTTCCGGGGACACCAGGCCCTTCCAAGGGGGGAGGCCACTACCTGAACACAATGCGGTCATCTTCAAGGAGTACACTCACGTCGGTGCTGTCCTCGACACAAAACTCCATGTAAACATACTTGGGTCTGTCGTACCACAGGGTCCGGGCGTGCTGCCTGAAGGGGGTGGAGGTGGGGCTTGGTAGGAGTGGGCAAGACTGAAGGCAAGAAGGAGAGGCGGAGGGAGGAGACAATGTGGTGCCACAGAACCCGGTGGAGGGGAGTGGTTGGAGCAGGTGGAAGTGGTGAGAACGAACCCGGAAAGACAGGGGAAGTAAGGAGTTAGGAGGTGCATTCAGTTCACACCACTCCTCTCACCCACAGTCACAGGGGCCTGGGAGTCCCGGGCTCCGACGGATCTGGGCAGAATCAGCAGCTTCCAGAAGATGTGGGGCAGGGGATCTGCAGGGAGAGGGGCAAGGGGGTAGGCAGTGTGCGATGGCGGCCTGACACTCACCGTTCCATGGTGGCTCCAGCTGCCCGGTGCCTTTTGGAGTCCCAGGCAAGGGCCTCTATCTTTAGATCCTAGGGGCGCGCCTAGCAGCTGCCTCTCCTTATTTGGTAGGGGTGAGGGTTGAGAGGAAGGGAAAAGGTGGCAAGACAGCAAAAGTGATCTGAACTCCGGGGGGGACTCTGGGAGAGTTTACTGCATCTCTTTACCTCTCGGGGTCTCCAGAATTACACGGATCAGGAATACATTCACCCTCTATGGCCAGGCAAAGGGCTACCCTAGACCCTCTAAGCAGGAAACTACTTATCCTCGGCCTCGTTCTTTTGTCCCTCCAACCCTAAGTATTAGCGTAGAGTCTAATTCACAAAGCACTCAAGTCGGCCTCGGGAGACTGGAGGCGTGCAGGCCCCGCCCACCGCCCCTCCAGGCTTCCCGGCCAGCGCCCGTTGTCATGGCAGCAAGGGGGCGCGACTGACGTGCGGCGGCGCTTCCGGGAAGATGGCGGCCGTGGAGGTGGCTACGGAGCAGGCAACTGCGGTGACGGCCTTGGGGCCAAAGGCGAAGGACGAAGAAGAGGACGAGGAGGAGGAGGAGGAGTCGTTGCCACCATGCGAGGCAGTGCGCTGGGCCCCCGTGGGGGCGGTGGCCGAGGCCGGGCCTGGGGCGGCGGCGTTCTCGGAGGAGGCGGCGGCGGCGGCAGCCGAGGAG